TGAGTTGTCCAGCTAGACGAGATTATCTGTATTTCGTTACGTTCACTGATGATTTCAGTCGATACAGTTATGTCTACTTGATGAGACATAAGTCTGAAACACTTGAAATGTTCAAGGCATTCAGAAACGAAGTACAGAACCAGCTTGGCAAGACGATCAAGACACTTCGATCTGATTGTGGTGGCGAGTATTTGAGCCAAGAGTTCACTGACTATCTTGTTGATTGTGGTATTATATCACAATTAACTCCTCCTGGAATGCCACAATGCAATAACGTATCTGAACAGAGGAACCGAACACTATTAGATATGGTTCGGTCGATGATGAGTCAGACAGATCTTCTGAAGTCCTTTTGGGGCTATGCTTTATAGACCGCTACATATCTGCTGAACAAGAGTCCAACAAAGTTGGCTGAAACGACACCATATGAGATATGCACGGGGAAACATCCTGCGTTATCGCTAGTCAGAATTTGGGGTTGCGACGCTTACGTGAAGCATCTGATGACTGATAAGTTCTCCTCCAAATCTGACAAGTGTTTATTTGTATACTACCATAAGGAAACTAAGGGTTACTACTTCTGCATTCCGGCAGAGAACAAGGTATTTATTGCCAGGAATGCGACTTTTATGGAACGAGAGTTTGTCTCCAAAAGAGTCAGTGGGAGTAGGATCGAACTTGAGGAATTCGAGAGCAACACATAGACGCTGAGCCGAGTGAACAAGTTGAAGAGTGTAACCTGTATCACTGCCAGTTAAGACTCAACCTTTGACTAGTGAACCTCGGAGATCAGGCAGGATTCGCCAAGAGCCTGTGAGATATGGTTTTCTTATGACTGGAAATGAGGAGCTCATGTTATTAGAACATGATGAGTCTTCCACATACCCAAAGACTATGGCGAGACCCGACTCCGAGAAATGGCACGAGGCTATGAAGTCCGAGATGCAATCCATGTCGGACAACCAAGTATGGACTCTGGTTGATGCATCTGAAGGGATAAAACCCATCGGATGTAAGTGGATCTTCAAGAAGAAGACAAACATGGATGGCAACATGCACACGTATAAGGCACGACTTGTGGCGAAAGGATTCCATCAGGTTCATGGTATTGACTATGATGAGACCTTTTCGCCTGCAATCATGCTGAAGTCCATCAGGATCCTACTTGCCATAGCCGCATATTATGACTATGAGATATGGCAAATGGATGTCAAGACCATGTTCCTTAACGGAAACTTGACCGAGGATGTGTACATGACATAATCCGAAGGTTTTGTCGATCAAAGGAACCCAAGATGGTGTGTAAGCTTTAGAGGTCCATTTATGGACTGAAGCAGGCTTCGGCAAACTGGAACCTTCGCTTTGATGAGGCAATCAAAAGGTTTGGTTTCTCACAGAACAAGGACGAGCCATGCGTTTATAAGAAGGTCAGTGGGAGCACAGTAGTATTCCTAGTGTTGTACGTGGATGACATTCTCCTGATAGAGAATGACGTTCCTACCTTGCAAGAAGTAAAATCTTGGCTGAGAATGCAGTTTTCTATGAAGGACCTAGAAGAACTGTCTATATTTTAGGCATCAAGATCTATAGAGATAGATCGAGGCGGCTTTTGGGATTGAATCAAAGTACTTACATTGATAAGGTCTTGAAACGGTTCAAGATGCAAGATTCCAAGAAAGAAACTTTACCGATGAGCAGTGGCACAGTTCTCTGCAAGAGTCGGCTCCTTCAACACCTGATGAGCGAGAACGCATGGATAGGATTCCATATACTTCGGCAATTTGATCCATCATGTATGTCATGCTTTGTACTCGACCGGATATATCATATGCGTTGAGCATTACGAGTAGATACCAGTCAGATCCAGGTGAGTCACACTGGATCGCCGTCAAGAACATCCTGAAGTACTTGAGAAGGATTAAGGATGTGTTCTTGGTATACGGTGGGTCGAAAGACGAGTTCGCTGTAAGAGGTTACACCGATGCTAGTTTCCAGTCAAACCCGTAAGACTATAGATCGTAGTCTAGCTATGTTTTCTGCTTGAACGGAGGCGCTGTAAGCTGTAAGCTGGAAGAGTTCTAAGAAAGCGATAGTTGCAGATTCTACTACAGAAGCTGAGTGTATTGCAGCGTCGCACGCAGCAAAGGAAGTTGTTTGGATCAGAAAGTTTGTTGGCGACATGGGTGTCATTCCTAGCGTTGATAGCCCCATTGCTCTGTATTGTGACACCAATGGTGGAATCGCACAAGCGAAAGAACCTAGGTCCCATCAACGATCCAAACATATAATCAGACGATTTCACCTCATCAAGGAGATCATAGACAGAGGAGACGTGCACATATGCAGATTGTCGACTGATGACAACATTGCCGATCCGTTGACGAAGCCTCTCCCTTCGCGGAAGCATCAGGGTGATGTTAGGGATATGGACATTAGATGTTTAGTAGTCCATGAGTAGAGCAAGTGGGAGTTTGTTGGTTTAGTTCTCTATGATGTACTGCTATATGAGCTTTAATTTGATACATTTGATGTATTGACGCTTACTATGATTATATATATGGATGAGTGTTTACTTCATTACATGTTGTGCATACTTTAATATGTTATGAAATCCATGTATTGTTATGAACAATGCTAAATTCTCTAGTCATATATCATTGTGGGAACAATGATGTACTAAGACCAGTATGATGTGTGATAGATGACCATAAAGATGATCATGAGTATTGGATATGGTCACAATCATAGGTATTCTTTGGAGAACGGAATACTGGAATGACCCGCATGAGATTGTCACATGGACAAACGTCATGACTTGAATCTCATTTGATGGTTCCATGATTGGATCCTATGACCTGAGATACCTACGGAATCCAACATGAGGAGTTGCATATTTTGAATATGTCAAACGTCTTGCGTAATAGGAGGACTATAAAGGCATGTATCAGGTGTGACACGAATCATGTGTTGGACTATAGATAGTCAAAATGGGATTTATACCTCTCGTAAAACAGAGAGATATCGTTGGACCCCTCGTGTGAGCGAGACTGTAGAAATGTGTGGCCACATTATAGACAAACGTTGTTTATTTCGTACAGTCAAACTCTGTGAACGAGAAAGAAGTCGAATCAGATAAGGTGGCTTCTCCATGCCTTATGTTCAACATATGATATCATGATACAAAAAGATCATCAACCGGGATCATCACTGACGTTCGTAAGATCATGAGCAAACTCTATTCTAGATAGGTAGTCATAGTGTCTTACTAGCGGCCTATGACTTGTATACCTGAAATAGAGATTTCGGTTATACTGCTATATCGGATAAGCCTATAGGGTCACACACGCATGGAAGGACAAATGCACGAGAAAACGACGAAAAATTGAGACAGAGGGTCCAGACTTGATGGTCCAGAAGGTCCAGACCTGACGGTCCAACAGGTCCAGACCCGACGGTCCAGAACGTGGTAGTCTGCCCGTTTCGGAATGTCTGGAACAGACGGTCCACGTAAGCCAGACCGTTCATTCCAGAATGCCTAGAACGGACGGTCCACGTTTAAATCTGGACCGTCTATTCCGGGTTTCGGGATTTTCGAAAATAAGCCAAAATTAGGGTTAATCACTTTATAAGAAGGAGATTAAAAACTCTAATAGCGAAATGACGAACTAGTGAACTTCTACATACCTCTTAGTAAGCTTTGAGGGTCTAAGAGGTGGTCTAAATCTCGTTTTTTCGAAGCACATTACCGAATAGCAGATTCGGGTCCTAGAAGACAAGTTCCAATCATTGGAATCCAATCCCGAGGTGTGGATAGGTGTAGAGGGCGAGGTAATCTTCCTGTCTTTTGTGATTAGACGAACACATCAATTGATACCGGCCCTGGATCGATTGAGGTAAGCGTTCTAACGTTTCTACGATTCATACATGCATGGTTTTAAGGTTTATTAGAAAATTTTGTTTTACATCCACTGCGCAAACCCTAGAACCGATCTCTTAGGAATTAGATTCGCTGTAGAGATCATAGGAATTCCAACAGTTTGTTGGTACAACATTACCTGTATTTCTGAGCTTTTTATTATCCTTGATGATATTAAGTTCATTTTTTCTAATGGAATTTTATAAAGAAAAAAATACCTAAAAATTTATGAACTTGTAATTTGGGGTAATATTAATTTCTAAACTTGTAGGTGCGCCTATTTATTCCCAAACTTACATTTTTTAACACAATAATTCCTAAATTTGTCTTTTTTGACACAATAATTCCTAAACTTACATTTTTTAACACAGTAATTCCTAAACTTTGTTTTGGTCAATTAGTTGTATGGACGATTATGCAACTATTAAGCAAATTTAGTAATTATTATGTTCAAAAATGAAAGTTCGGGAATAAATAGACGCACTTACAAGTTCAGGAATTAATATTATACCAAATTACAAATCAGGAATTTTCAGGTATTTTCCAAAAAAAAATAACACTTGGATGTATTTTTTTTATAAACTTCACTCTTGTTTCAACAAAGTACTTAGCATACATATTTATAGTCTGGATTAGACTTTTACCTTTGGAAAGTTAAACATAATCATAAAGAAAAAAGACTAACTTAAAAACAATAAATATAACTTTTAATGCTAATATATAGCTTATGACCACTTGTCATTAAATCTTTCATAACTTTTGATAGCTAACTCCAGATGGCCTAAAACTTGAACCATCAGAATCTAGACATCCGGGGCATCAAAATCCATAGGTCATACGTAAAATTTGGTTAACATTGGATCCCTTAAATTCCATTAAAAAACTTCCCCAGAATCTGTCAGTTTATATGAATTTAGTGCTCACAGAAGGAAACCTCGAGATGAAAGGGAGGGTTTGAGTAACCAAGAGGATGTTGCTGATTATTTTTGATTCTCGACGATTCTAATCATTAATTGAAAGTTGATCCATTCTCCGACAGAAATTTGGACGACTGACACCCAACAAAAAGAGAAAACTCAGAGAATGGAATGCTTATGCATATGATTATATATTATTATTATTATTACGGTAAATATCATATGATATATGAGAGAGTGTTGAAAGTTCATGGGTCGGTCTGTTGAAAATGGGCAGGGTAAAGGTAGCTGCAAATGCAGATGCCACCACGGTCGCAATAGCCAATGGCTTTTTCGCCGTGAATGGTCTTGCACTTGCTACCACAGTCAGGCATACACGGTCCAAGGATATCCATACACCCCATGCTCTCATCAACTGTTACGTGATCAGGAAAAAAAAAAAACAACAACAACCGTGTTTAGTGTTTACATATAAGTTTTCGACTAGGGGATATACCATATAATATATAGGGGAAATACCATATTAATACTAACGTATAGAAAAATCTTAAATAAATACACAAACTTTAATATAGAACATTAAATTTTTAAACGATTCCCAAATGCCACCATGCTATGATGGTTTCTGAAATTGTTCAAATGTTCAAGTTCTAATATAGAAGCTAAGAAAAATTCGTGTAATTTTTTTTTAAAAAAATTTTAAAGTTTATATATTTATCTGCGATTATTTAACAAATTCGTATATTAATATACGATTATATATATTTATACGTATTTGTGCACTGATCTTTTAGTATCAACAAATATATGCGTGGAACCCAAGATTGGATGGCTCATCCGGTGAAGAAGGGAGCAAAGCTCCTTTCCAACCCGAGTTCAAGTCTTCATATAGGGAGAGATATTCACATGGACTTTCTCGATTGTCTGTGAGATTTAATTGGGTTAAAGCCACGGTGAACTTCTGGATTATAAAAAAATATGTGCGCGGAGTGTGATAATACGCTCAAAACATGACATTGCATGAGGAATGAGTGATATAGGGAGAGGACTCACTTAAGGCCGATGAGACCAAGAGGATCATGAACGACGTTATTACCATCTTGTATGGACTCATCTTTCAGCATTCCCGTCTGAAGAACTTATAAATATTTTATTTTATATTTTAACGTTTACTTATGATCACATATTATTGCTTGACAGTGTCGTATTTATAGCATTGCCATATATACTAAAATATTTAATAGCATGCCATATATAATAAAAAAAATTAAACTACACAAAAATGGACTTCCATATATGTAGTGTTAGATGTACATTTTTTTTTTGTTAGTCAGGGGTCAATACAAAATATGTACATTCCTTAAATTTGTTTGTACGTACAATTGTATAAATACCTAGCTTTGAGTTTTGTATTTTCTGATATAACAATTAAATTAAAATAATTAATACATCATAAAAACCAAAAAAATTGTTCAAATTTGATTACAGAAATAAAACTTCAAATGATTATGAACATTTTCTAGGTATTATCTTTAGAGCATTTGCGTAGATAATTGTCTCACAATCACATTTGTTCACCGATGCAATTGTTTCAAACCAATGATCTATGTTGTTGAGTTACAAATAAAAAAAGTTACGTTTTTCCGCATGTTACGCTAAAAAAACAGGCGATTTTCCAACGAACAAATCCGTTGAAAATAACCTAAAAAGCCATTAGAATTTAACAATTCCAGCACCATCGCAATATGGTCGTTGGGAAATATGGTTTGTCAAAAATTTCAACAAAATTTCATTAACTATTGGATGTCGAAACACAACGAAATTTCGTTGCCAAATGCTTTATGCGAATGAATATAAAGTGAATTGGACCAACAAAGAGGACGAAATGCTTAATATTATTATTATTGATATTATTATGTCGGTAAACATCACATATGATTGACATTGTTGTCATTTACATGGATATATAGATAGATAGAGAGAGAGAGAGAGAGAGAAGGGTTCCATATATAGGAGATTGAGGGCTCATGGAGTGGTGGTGTGAGCAGGGCAGGGGTAGCCGCAGTGGCAAGCGCCTTGAGGGTCGCAGAAGCTAGTGGCCTTTTGGCCGTACCTCCACTTGCACTTTGCATCGCAGTTAATGCCCACACACGATCCAATGATACTCGTACACGCCATGCTCTCCTCAACTGCAACCACATCGTTCCAAATTCACGTTACACACTTTTATTCATAATCGATATATATATATATATATGTATATGTATAGGTATAGGACTCACTCAAGGCAGAGGAGACGAAGAGGATCATGAAGAACGCTACAATCTTGCATGGAGTCATGTTTCTGAAGAAAACTTGAGAATCTTTTGTTCTTTTTTTCTTTTCTGAATGTTTTTTATTATGGACATATTATTGCTTGGAGTGTGTCTTATTTATAGGCATTGGTAACAAAAGGAAAATTCCTTGGTGCTTATTATGAGGTCAGATTCTGTTTTAATTAAATAGAATCCTAAAGATATAATTGCCCTTTATTGTATTAATTAAGCTGTTGTACACTTTGCTACAAAGAATGGAGAGAGAGTGTAAATACATAACGGCTATTATATGCGAAAGGAAATAAATAATGAAATCTCTACTTCTTCTCTAATCTACAAATGGTAACAAATATATTTTAATATAATTTAAATTTACTCCATATCACCTATGTAACGTCTGTATGACATATTTTGTCTCCAAATATATATATGTATATATATATATATATAAAATATACACACACCAATGCATTAAAATATGTGGTAACGTCCCGTAAATTCTAAAAACTAAACTAAACATAAATGGACCTCCATATATATCTTTTTAGGTCTAACGTAGTCCTTTCTAGGTCTAGGGTCTGATTAGACTCGGTTCAGATCATCCTAGGTGATTGGAACTGCCTGAAACTATTGTTGGTAGTTGTTGGGCCTAAAAGCCCATTTGGTGGAAAAGTTAAACCCTCCACGTGAGGGAGAGGCTTTCCAAAAACGCCACGTTTTGCGTTTTAGGGTTAATACCCTAATGTGTTTTGGCTTTTGCGAGACACGGTGCTCGAGGTGTGAGAGAGAAAGAGAGGGAGAACGGAGATGGCGAAGGAGAAGGAGGTTTATGCCGACGGAGGAGTTTCTCGGCGTCGCCGGTAGACGTAGCTCAAGGTAGGTGAGTCGGGATCGGTAAGACGTCGCGTATTCTGTTCTTTCTCGATTGTTTCTTGAACACATCGTGGGTGAGTCTCCGGTTTTGTGGAGACCACCGTCTTCGGTTGTTTTCCGTTCTGTTCTAGTGGATTCGCCGGCACCGTCCGGCCGAGATGTAGGCCCGAGGTAACTCGGTAACCGAACTCGTTAAAAGTCTCCGGTGTCTTTCGATTCGAGCACGTACGAGTGTCGGAGTGGCCGTGAGGATTCTGATACCGACTTCACAAAGTGGTATCAGAGCTCCGGTTACGATCCAGGGAGCATCGCCGGTCAGGCGAGGTAAGTTAGGTTTTCCGGTTTTTCTTTTTCGAGTCGATTTTTTCTGAGCGTTCTAATCCTCTACTGAGTGTGCAAGACGCAAGATCGGAGGTAGATCGGGACTCGAAAGAAGAAGATCTGAGGTCTGTGGTACTGTCGGCGGCGAAGATTCGGGATCCGAAATCTCAGAGAGCTGACGCGGCCAAGACTCGTTTCGAAACCGGAAACCAGGTGAGTCCTTCGACTCGGTTCTTTATTTTCCGCGTTTTTCTTCCGAATTTGAGTCCGAGTTTCAAAGAAACTCGGTGAACTCGGCGGAGGAATGCTTGATTCCGGCGAAACTCGACCCCTGACTCGTCCGAGTTAGGGTT